TGTATCATTTCCAGCACTAAGCTCAGCCTGCTCGTGCGAACAACGTCTTGTACTGGGAGTCCGTGCGAGTGATGGAGTTGTCGTCTTTATCGACCACGAACTTACCCTCAATAACCACATTCTCCTTCACGACTACTACGCCGCCCTAAAACAGATCACAACTGTCACAGGGACTGTTAACAAGTAATAGAGGCGAGCACTGCAGAACTCTAGAGCGTCTGGAGTCGAGCACTCCCCCCTGACCTTGGGAGCTAAGGCTGCCTTGCAACGCTTGAGATATGCTACGAGGTCCTCATCGGTGAGATACCTAACAGGAACCAAACCCAGTGCGCTTTCATCATAGCTCTCATCAACGAGCTACAGGAGACACCATTGGTTCCATATCATATCATAACGACCAAGCTCTGGGTTGAAGTCTTGAACACCCATTTGCAAGAACCTATCCAAAAGGCGTTCACGACTGTGTGAATGGGAAACTCTCAGCGTACCTCTCCACATGACAAGGTGCAGTGGCGGCAGGACTGAGAGTCTTTCTGGCCGTATCCAGGAGGTTGGCACAAGGTTCGACGAGATCTATCGTTTCTGAAGCGGCAACATCAGCGCCACATACATCGATGACAGTTCCTCACGGAATCGCTGTGTCAAGACTTCCCGACTGACTCGCCCGATTCCAGCGCCGCAGTCCACCACAGTGCGGAACCTGGAAAACCACTCAGTGAGTTAGAAGTGCTCAAAAGTTGGTATACATCGGAGGATTGGGGACTCTTCTCTCTATCGTATCGAGGAACTTGAGAGAGCCCATCACGTCTGTTGGCGACAGCCCTTCAAATCCTTGGAGGACCTATTAAATAGAGATGCCAGCTTGGGTAGTACCCAATGGGTACTCGCAAGCAATAGCCTCACCCCGTCATCGGAAGAAGGCTGATTCTCCCAATAGGACACTGCCTTACCGTACCACTCATCAGAGCCAGCAGAAAGCTTCTCGCTCCACATATCTGCCAATGAGTTCACTTTTCCAGGTTGAGAAAAAAACAGTCGGTTACCTTGCAGACTGCTGAATTTGCGACCATCAGTGTCTTGCCCTCCCTCTAACATAACGTTATTGCTATTGTTATTCATTTTCGAACTTCTGGCGTATAATACACGGCTCAATAGACGACTCGACACGCGAGTGAATTGGAGAAAGAACACTAAGTGTCTTCAGACTGCGGAAAGAATACAACAGCGACCAAGGCAACAGAAGATGCATATCACACAGAAACGCCATACACCAAGCACAGTCCCTGGGTAGTGACCTTGGAAGAGATTACGCCCGTCCGAGACGAGTCATCCTAGACTTGAAACACGGTCAGAGCCGCCGCAAAGAGAACGAACCCGAACGCAAGCGGCTGATAGGCTGAAATTAGTATCGCCACGTCAAGTTGAATCTCGCGATTAAGGAGATGGCACACGTTTGGACAGCATATTGCCGTTACGGTCTCGCTTTCCAAAATGAACAGAAACACCGTCCATAATTTCATACAGCAACTTGCGAACATCCTCGATGTAATCCAAGGCAGACAGCTCGAGGCCTCGACCATTGAGAGCCTACAGAAAATACTCTCCAATTTAGTGACGTATTCTCACCTGTGCGTAGATGTCCATTG